AACCCAGTGACGGAGTGCAGATGTAGAATTCCTTTGGGTCTATTTCAGCGTTCCCAATAAACCTCTACATCCTGTGTGTTCATTATGAGCACCCAAATCTCTGTAAACTGTGGGAAACAGCTTCAATGGAATTCCAGACTGTACAATCGTCAATGTACATTCAGCGGCAACATCACACTTTTGATTCTCTTTATTTTGCCTTTCTCTGGCATTCTTTCTCCCACAGTCCCACATCTATGTGTGTGTGTGTGTGTGTGTGTGTAATATACCCACATGACTAAATGTGTACGTGCTTTAGTGGTCAGTATACTGCCCACAAAAATCTTAACTGAGTATGTGAGCCAAACCGATGGGTCAAAAGGTAACCCACACAGTGGGTCATGGGAAGCCACTGTCTTGTTTCTATTCTCATGTTGATAGACTCTTGTTTCTATTCTCATGCTGATGACTATCAGAGAGACTATTTTTAGACTTTTTTTATTATTTCCAGGGACATGCTAACTAACTGCCCTTGGCCCATGCTTGTTGTGCTGCAACTTTATAGATAGTTGCTGCACCAGGAATTTAAGTTTTCCTCTAGTAAATGGTTGTCTCAAAATAGTTTTTTTTGTGTGTGTGGTTTTAATTTTATATATATTTAGACTTTTTTTATTATTTCCAGGGACATGCTAACTAACTGCCCTTGGCCCATGCTTGTTGTGCTGCAACTTTATAGATAGTTGCTGCACCAGGAATTTAAGTTTTCCTCTAGTAAATGGTTGTCTCAAAATAGTTTTTTTTGTGTGTGTGTGGTTTTAATTTTATATATATATACTGTATATTGTGTGTGTGTGTGTGTGTGTAAATCATCTGAAAAGGGCCATATTATACACTTTTATTTTGTAGCATCTTCCCCACTGAAGTCAACTTATAACACAAGTTGTAAACAGTTGTAATTTATTTTTACATGACCATTTCCCACCCTCTCTCCGATCCTAAGAGTTATGCAAGCTGTTCTTTGCTACTGTAACTTTAAGAATTATATATGTAAATGATCTCTGTTATGATTGGCTAACCTCCATGTACCCGCATTGTTCACAACGTCATCCAGAAATATATGTATTAATGCGGTCATGTTATGCAGTTATGTCCATTCAAAACTGAGTCAAGTGGATTTATATGCAATTTAAATGATAAAAGCACACCTGTTTTGATACTAATTAGAAATGTTTCTTGAGCACCAAATCAGTATTTTAAAATGATTTATAAAGGATCATGTGACACTGAAGACTGCATATAATATTACTGATTTTACTGTTTTCATCAAATAAATGCAGCCTTGAGCATAAAAGATTTCTTTCAAAAACATTAAAAACGTCTTATCAACCACACACTTTTAAATGAACTTTAAAGAATAAAAGACAAATCAACCATTCACGTGTCTAAATCGAAACTGTCCAATCAAGTCTCACTTTCTGTAGGTCAATTTCTGTATATATATATATATATAGTTCAGTCATGAAACTCTAGATGGTGCATTCTGACGGGGTGTTAACTTAACTGATGATATTCAGAGAGTTAAAGGGGTCATATGATGCTATTTAAATTTTTCCTTTCTCTTTGGAGTGTTACAAGCTCTTGGTGCATAAAGAAGATCTGTAAAGTTGCAAAGACTAAAGTCTCAAATCCAAAGAGATATTCTTTATAGAAGTTAAGAGTCAGCCACACCTACCTAAAACGGCTCGTTCTAACACGCCCCCACATACCTACGTCACGATCTGGGAAGATTTGCATAACGCCGCCCAAACGTTCACGCAAAGAAAGAAGGCGTAACCTTTATTCTCGCTGTAGTATTGTTGCCGCCACCGCCATGTCGTGAAGGCACTGTGTGTTTCGTTGTGAAAGCGAAACTACTTTATTTGGTCTTCCAAAAGAGGATGATATCCGCTTCGTCATGCCTAGAGCTGATCCGTGCTGAT